ATTTTCCCTGTGATGAGGAAGATTGTGGTCAGCAGCTGGGTACCTGGTCTTTGGCCACTTTCTTGGAAGAGATTTTTAGGCGCATTCTCTATTGTCTAAGCCATCTTCCCTGAGCACCACCTGTAAGGGGCCCTGGGATGGGAGAACCCTATTGCTGTGTGCTCCTAGGCCAGTGCCCAGGAGACCCTTTGCTGGTGGCAGATACCCGGCAGCTCACAACCCCAGAAATGAGGCCCTTAGGAGCAGCATCCCTTCCATCCCTTCTGATGGCTGCAGCCGCCACCTCGGGAACTCAGCAGCACCAGGAGCTGCACCAGGAGGCAGGCATGGGGGAGGCTCTGGGAGAAGGAAGGACTTCACAGGTATTTCCCACCCTCCCATGGCTGGGAGTGGCCTGTGTGCTCTGTTAAATAGTTCCCAGCCCCTCCTCTCAAGCTTGCTGGCACCAGGAGTGCTGAAGGGGGAGCAGAGCCTCCTGGAGGCTGAGAGTCCTGCCAGTCCCTGACCCCTCAGCTGAAGCAACCTCCTTTTCCCCCTCCCCTATTGCCTCTCACCTCCAGCCCAGTCTTTTTTCTTCTCTTCTTTGAAGAGCCACGGCAGGCAAACAGGATGTTCCACTCCCACACGCAGAGCCTCAGACGAGACAGTTGGGTCGAACCGCATCCTGCTGGCAGTGCTGGGTCCCATCTGCTGTGGACCTGGGTGGGAGGTGGTGCAGAGCTGGGTGCCAGGAGGGGCAATCACGAAGCTGGTTTCATTAGTCACTCTCTGAGCATCATTCCAAACTTTGAATTAGGTGGGCATCTCAAAGTCTCCCATGGGGGTTCTTGTGCCTGGAAGGGATGAATAATGCAGGTGGTGAGGGATAGTGACACCTGCTTAGCACATTTGTGGGAGGCCATGAAATGGTAATGGCATTCCTCATCCCCCACCTCACCCCTGGCTATGATTTCTGTATTCTGTGGGAATTTTTTTTTAATGAATAATTTCTCCAAACCTCAGCAAATCAGTCTAGGATTACAAAATCGCTACAAAATAGACAACTGCTATAGAGAGGCACGAGGTGGGGGTTTATGGAGGTGTGGTCTTTATAAGCAGTTAGACAGGACTGGAAGGACACCAGGGAAGGGCTGGCACTAGCTGAGAGTTTAAAGAAAACCCAAAATCTAAACTCTGCTGATAGCAACACGATTTAGGCAGTTCTCCCATGGTTGAAGCTGTCCTGGGGAAAAGAAGGTGTCAGGGCCAAGGTCCAGTTCTCCTTCCCCTGGGCAGGTGTTCTGAGTCCTTGGACTCCATCAGACATTTCATTTACAAACCAGTTTGTGCCTGTTGGGAGAGGGCAGATTTAAGAGATGTCAGGGTTTTACCACCCACTTGATAACTCCGCCTGGCATGAGCGACATTCTAGACACCCCTGGAACTTTCCACTTGTTGAGCCCATTATAAGGCGATAAGTGAAGGCAGCAGGTTGCACAGTGTGGATGTTCAGGTCTGCAGAATGTCCTGAAAGTTCAGTCGAAAGGTCTGAGAGATGGAGAGAGATTTCTCTAAAGGGACTGCACCCCTCAACAGCCAGAAAGCCCCTCCCTGTTGCTTTTCCTTTCCCCACCCTGCTGTAGGGCAAAGGAGGATGGTGCATAGGATGGGGTGGGAGTAGGGGAGAGGAGATGCTGGGAATAGGGACCATGGCTAAGAAGAGAGGGGGCAACTTGGGGTGTGGCAGATGGCAACTCTCTAACCTGTGGGGGTCCACCCCTCGCACCTGATGAGTGAGCATCTCTTAGAATGATTTCTTCCCCAGACGCGCCCCTGGGCTCGGGCGAGCGAGCAGGCATCTGCCTCCTGCAGCTGACTGCTATTTTATTTAATTAGGGCCTATTCCCGAAGCCCCTCCTCACTAAGACTGTCGTTCCACTTCCCTGCCCTGCATTGAATAAGCCCCATTTTGTTTCTGGGCATAATGATAGGTTCGTTGGAGATCTTGGATGCCAGACTTATGGGGGGGGTCTTAACAATATTGGCATCGCCTGTTGTGACAGTGACCTTTACACCAGCGTCTCTACAGAAATGGTTTCTATTCTGCTGTTTCAAGTTCCTGGAGAAATGGATCCTTGTATTATCTACCCGAGTAAAGTGGAGGTTCTTAAAGGCCTCTTGATACAAGGGTATGAATCAGCGCTCTGTGAATCTGTACTTCCGTGGAAAATACAGACAGATTTGTTCGGGGGCCTCTCTAAGCTCTTATATTTCACTGAGATTATTTCACAATGACCAGGAACATGCAGGAAGTCCGCCTCGTCTAGCACATGACTTACGTGAGCTTTCTTTGTGCGTTCGGCATGCATTTGCATTCCTCGGCACACGGTAGGTATTTAATAAACATTTGATAGGATGATTCACAGCCTGGTTCGCCTCACCCTTCAGACTCTTTTCCTTTTCCCTTAGATCTTCAACCTCATGAAGTATGACAGCTACAGCCGCTTCTTAAAGTCCGACCTGTTCTTAAAACACAAGCGCACCGAGGAAGAGGATGAAGACCCTCCCGATGCCCAGACGGCAGCTAAAAGAGCTTCGAGAATTTATAACACATGAGCCCCTCAAGATGTTGGTGGGACTGGCAGCTTTCAGAAGCAAAAGGACTCACTCTCAGGACCGTGCAGGGTTTATAACCGCTTTGTTATCTGCAAGGACTGAAATGTACAAAACCCTTCAATGGGATAAGTGTATTTTATTTCCTGCTTGATCAGTAAGTTTTGCATGATGGCTCATCTTACATAAAGAGACAAATAGCTTTGAAGTTTTAGTTCTTACACACACACACAAAGGTGGAATCGTCCTTCAACACTGGACATTTTGAGTGTTTTACAGCTTGATTAAACTTCATGTGAGGCCACCAGGTGAAACTTAACAGCCACCTCTTGCCTTGGAAGTCTTTGCCTTGCCTCTGCAGGAGGGTAATGTGTGTCCACTTGGTGAATCCGGTTAAGAATAAGTTGATCTGACAAGCTCAGGCCATTGGGGGTTTGTCTATCAGGTGCTTTTGGGTTAAATACTTCTAGAGAGTAAGTTCAGTGCTGGAAAAAGAAAATTAATCACAGCCTCTATAAAGATTTGGGGAGCTGACCTCTGAATGCCAGCAGAGGGCTCTTATTTCTCATGTGTGGGTTTGTCCTGGTTTTGCCCACAACCCATGACATTTCATACAGCACAGATACCTGGTTCATTTTGACAGAAACAAGATCTCAACCAGGAAAAAAGACAAACGGGAGATTGTTCAGGGTCCCCGTGGCAACGCAAGGTGGCACTGAATGGGGCTGTGGCACCCGTCCTCTGCCCATGTTGAGTTGGTGGGATGCTCCCTTCTCTTGTAGCCCATCTGGTGGATGGTGGAACCCTTTCTTCATGGTGCCTACCGACTTGTTAACTCGGCTTGAGACTTCAGTCAATGTCTGTCTTGGGTGGAGAGGCTGTGAGTGAAATCCTGCTGGGCCCAGGCTGCCCAGGTCCCCCCGCAGAGCCCAAGGTCAGGCACAGTTCCCTTCTGCTCATTGTTCCTGCCATCTGCTGCCGCCAGACCTTCTCCAGCATATTTGCCAAACCTTAAACTCCTGTTTGTACAAAACAAAGCAACCAGACTCTTACTTGAGAGCCTTTGAACTGAGATGCTCCCATTTGCAGAATTCCCTGCTGTTGAGCGTGACTGTATGATTTATCAATCAAACCAGGACACTTGAGAGAGAAGGGGAGAGAGTTTAATCACTAAACTGGGATAATAGGCATCAGCTGGTTCTGTTCTGGGTGAAACCAGTTCACATAATCACCCTACTGACCAGCCTCTCCTAGCGTGACGTCTTGGGCAGTCCTCCAGATTCTCATTGTCCATTCACTGGTCGAATGTTCCCTGTCCTTCCGTCTTGGGCCTCGGGAAGGGACAATCTTTAGGGAGCTCTTCACTGCTGCAAACCAAACCACCAAACTGAGCATCAGAAACAGTAAGTGCTTGATCCCCCAAAAGGGGTTTTTCCGCCTCCCTCAGGACCTCCCAGACAAGCCTCCTCTCTGCCTGGGATGAGATAGTGATGCTGACAGTGAGACCTGAGGCAGTGTCATCTGAGAAATCCAGTCCATCTTCACTCAGTGCTGACTGCTGCACTTTAAAGAGTAAGGGTTAAAAACAGCCTGAGTTCTCTCAGCTTGCTACCAGCAGAACAGTGCAGGGATGCAGACCCCTCCCCACCCCACTGCACCTTTGCAGATATAGGGTGACTTGGGGATGCCACAGCTGAGCGAGCCGCTTGGTGCTCCCTTTGGAGAGTCTGCCCCGGGTGGGTCCTAGAGAATGCAGGCGGGCTGGGAACCCTCTTTCTGGCTTTTACCTTTTTACCCCTTGGTTCAGAGACCCTTTGAGGTGGTGATCTCGTCATAAACACATAAACAGCCAGACTTAGCCGGAAGACTGTCTGCCGAAAGAAAAGCCTCTCGCTTCGGAGCTGCCTGAAAAGCTGAATGTCAGCGCCAGGGTGAGCTGCTTACATTTAACCCCAGCGTACTCCCACCAGCGTGACCTCACACCACTTCCCCCAGCTTGCTCCTGCCTGGCTGCCTCCACCCCTGCCTGCCGCACAACTGGGGCACGTACAGAATTCAGCTCCCTACAGCCATGGCAAAAGTGAGACAGAAGTGGAGGGAACCCATGTAGCCAGATGCTTCTACCCAGCTTTTCACTTCCACCCGATGTCTGCCTGTCCGCCCATTCATTTATTGGCTAGTGTTTAAATGGTGTCTGCAACATGCCAGGGATAGTGTTCGGGAATATAGCAGCCGTGGTGATTCACGCTCCAGTGGTGCTTGCTCACAGATCTTCTAAAATGCGGGTTTTATTGTGATTCAGGTATGGTGAGCCCAACAGATCAGGAGATGACTACCACTGAAGGGGCAGTCTGTTACACTTCCCAAGAGGAGGGGCCAGGTCATGCCAGGCGGGGCCGCAACGGGAATCACCAGGGTCCATAAGGAGGCAGAGGGAATGAGGGGAAAATGTGGGCAAGAGCCTTCACTGTGGTTTCATTGGAAAAGGCAGGGCAGGGTACACTGTAGGACTGGCTAGTATGAGTCATTTCCATGGGCTCTGGGGCTTAGGGGCTGTCCCCAATTGGCACCTGGGCCTGAGTGATTAGGGCAGGTGGCCTGGAGTGTAAAAGCCCCATGAAGCAGGGGCTGGGGATGTGAGCTCTGGGTTGGACAGCTGTTTACGATCTCTAGGAGTTAGCTAGCGCTGAGAGGGGCAGTCCCTCCACTGCTAGCCGGGACCCAGACGTGAAAGCATCAGAGTAAAACACGCTTGAGACAGCAGTCTGCAGGCCTCGGAATCTCAGCCTGCAGGCCGTAGGTGGTGTGTGTGATGGGGCACGTGTTTTAAAGCTTTCAGGGCAATTGCCTTGGGCAGAGCACCAGTGTAATCTCCGCTCGACCGCAGGCCCTGTCACTCCCTATTGCCGCATGCCAAGCCGTTCACATATTTACGTTCTCCACTGGATGTAAGGTTAGATCTCCATTTCCCATGTGCAGAGAGCACGGTGTGGGTGACATTTTCCTCTGTGATTTTATAGTCATTAATTATACCTCCAAATCCACTCTGCTGACATCCCCCCAACCACAACAGAGTCCGTTGTGGTCCACGCTCCTTCACGATCTTGCCTTCTCAATTACAGAACTCCCCTCCGAGGCCTGGCAGGAATCAACTCACACTTGAAGAAGGCTTCTTTCCCATTACCTCATACACAAAGCCTTACAGTGGGAGAAGAGCCATTTCTCGCATGTTAGAGACGGGAAACCCAAAACAAAAACATGACTCACACACACATGTGCTCGTGACTGCCAGAATCTGAGGATGGAACCAGACCTTCTGTCTCCTGACCCCAGGTCCATCCTCTGCCTGGACGGGGGCCCAGGGGAGCCCAGGGTTGGCAAAGATGCTCACTTACCCAGCAGAAACTTAATGAGCACTCACTACATCCCAGGCCAAATACCAGCTATAGGAAGGGAGGGGGATGAAAGAACAAGGCAGCAACCCCGACTTTGAGGGAGCCACTGGTTGGGAAATGAGAGGAGGTCTTTACCACAAACTCTGCTACAAGAAAGAGGGAGCCGCTGCGGGAGGGACTGATGGGACGTAACTGGCTGGTTGTGTCCATCTCTTAAGTTTACACGCTCGGTGGTTTTCTCTTTTCCCTAAATATCATGATGCTAAGCTTCATGTTGACACTGGTGGTGAAGTGATTTCATTCGAGAAATATGAGAAGGAATACTCTGTTCTGAGGGGCAGAAGCTTTTAAAATTCCAGTCTCAAGGTGCACTCCAGAGAATGAAGAGTTAGTTCACTACGTTTCCCATTCCAGTTTTGCTAATGTGTCCTCTCATGTGTTACAGAGTTGGGAGCTGATGAATTGGTACCCGACTCCCAGGTCCCAGCTCTGAATTTTGTGAGCACACTTTGTTTATAAGCTTTGCAAACTACTAGACAAGCGCAGTCATGACTCACATTCTGTCATTATTTACTTTCATTTTGGCTGCAGATGTTCTAGGTCTTGCATTTATTTAAGTGCTAAATGGTCTTGTTGGATCATTAGCTTCCAGGATTTTAAAAGTCTGTTTCTTCTCAAGGTTAGCTACATGCAATGACGGGGCTGGGGCAGGGAGAGGAGAGATCTTATGCACAGATCAGGGCAGGGCTGGAATCACTGTTGAAATGGTCCCCGAATGGCTCTTCTTGGATTCCCACAGGCACTGCAAGCTTTGTAAGTCCAAAGTTGCTTGAGCAGAGACCCAGGGGTCCCTCTTCTTGGGGCCTCTAAGTGAGAGTCCTGCAGGCCGTACCCTTGCTGTGCACTTGCATGCACGTCCACAGTGCTGTACGCCCCTGGAGGAAGGGGAGCCTTTTGCCAATTCCCACAAAGTCACTGGGTAGGGGCACCTAGAAGTGGCGCCTGAGGGTCTCCCTTTCCTGCACTTCTATGTCTGATCCATCAGCAAGGCCTCTAGAGTCTTCTCCAAAATCTAGCTTAAATGCGTCCATCCTTCCCACCTCCACGGCCTCGGGCCCTGACCAGGCTGCCTCCCTCCTTCTCTTGCCCAGTGGAGCCTCCTCACAGCTCAGTCCTCTGCCCTCCACACTCCCTCCCCATCTTCACCCAGCACTTGCCTTTTAGAAGCACAAACCTGACCGTGCTGATCACCTGTGTAAGCCCCTTCTGTGCCTTTCTTTGTTCGCAAAATAAAAATTCAGATCGTGACCATGGCCTCGTGACTGCAAAGCTGGGAGAGCTGAGCCCAGCCCCACCTCGCCTCCTGCCCCTACAGCTCATTTCAGAGGTGAGCAGGGCATGGGTGCTGCTCGCTGCAGCCTCTGCACAGGCTGCCGCCTCCTGACCTCGGTTCTTTCTCATCCTTCAAGTCTCAGGCCAAGTGTCAGCTCCTGGGAGCGGTCTTTCCCAAGGACCCTGCTAAGCAGCCGCCTGCCCTTTCCCCTCCCCAGAGTCCTGGCTTGTGGCCCTTTATCCATTACCAGTTGGAACTGGTTGTGTTTCACTGAGTTCCCAGAGGTGAACCCACTGCCTGGACGCCCCTAGCCACATGACAGGCCCTCAATATGTGGTTCTTGACTGAGCAAAGGAATGCCAAGTAAGTTAGGATCTCAGATTTTGGTTGATCTCATTCACAGCCTGGTACCTCAGTGGTCAACCCTCGTGATTGTCATAGAAAATGGAGAACTGGGAGGCCCACCAGTTCCTAAGTGCCTCCCATGTGCTAGGCATCGTGCAAGGTGCATTGAAGATGGTATCAAACCTGGGCAGTGGCTGTGGCTTCCCCAGTCAATGGGGACTGAACTTCAGAGGCACTGAGCCTGCACCAGGATCCCATGGCTCAAGGTTGGTGGTGTCAGGATTGGAACCCAGGTCTTTTAGATCCCCCAGCCCACCATCTTTCTCTGTACCAGGCTGGGCCAGGTTTCAGCTCAGAAAAATCATTGGTCATTCCAGCTAAAAAATGGGACTCTGTTCTTTCAGAGAGAAGGCCACCCCCAGCTGGTCTTGACCCCTTCTTTCTTTTCCTTTGCAGGACATGCAGAGGGCGCCTTGCCCCAGCCAGGGAGGTAGAGTCAAATCCTCCCTTAAAAAGCCTGGTTTGATATTTGCAACCAGTTTTCTTTTTCTTTAGCTGTATATCATGACCATCTTTCCATGCCAATAAACATAATTACACACCACCAAAAAAAAAAAAGGTCCAGTTTCAAGATTATCTAGGGAAGATAAATGTTTCTCTTGTGCTAATTCCAGCACAGTTTATATGCTGTTTTGCAACACGGGCAAACTGTTTTCTTCTTATTTAAGCATTTAAACTCTGTTTTTTAAACTGTTATGGCATGCAGATCGCCTAAGAGTAACAGATGTCTGCTTGATAGAGATGTTCCCAGGAAAAGAATTTGCTGCTTCTTGGTCTCCAGAGGAAGGATGCTTTTACAAGTATGTGGCTTTTGGTCCACATGTCGCCCCTCTTACCCTCAGAAGAAGAATGGGGGAAGAAATACAGTGCCAGGGGCTGCCATGTAAGTATCTAT